ATTTTAATTCCTTTTGTTCAAAAATGTATAACAATAAATAAAACTATAAATAAAAACAAGAAATTTAATGTGTTCCTTAGCTATAGGCTTATTTGTACTTGAAAACATACTTCCATAAAACTACTTTTTTCAACTATTTTGGTTGTCCACAAAATAATTCAGCTTGTATTTTTTAATACACCAAATATGTCAGACAATACAATAAAATGTCATAAAACTAATATAATTTATCTGGCTTTGTAGCTAACCTATAAATAGGTTAAAAATTCCATTACTGTTCAGAACAACATCTTCAGATTAAACACATCAAGTTCTCTTGACAAATTAGTGGCTTTGACCACTAAAACAAAACAGATTCTAATTGGTTGAGCATTATAAAGCCCTTATAAGAGTAGAGAAAAAGCTACAAATAGAAGTCAGAGCACCACCACATATGATTCAGAAGTGCAGACTGAGATTATATTTAAGTATTTTCTTTTAATAGGCCCCTCATGAGCCAGTGGAGGACATTTTTGTTGAAAAAAACAAAACTACCCAATCCAGTTTTTATTAATTTGAATTAAAATTTTTTGGGCATTTTTATTGGATAAAAGGAAGTGATTTGAAGTGGTAAGGTGCATCACAAGCTTAATGGCTGAGCACAAGAAGCGTGGAAGTCTCCAAATGACACGTATAAGTATTCAGGAACCATTTAGAACCACCTTGGTAGATATTGTGCAGCAAGCCGAGTATAATATTATGCCTGTAGCTGCTTTCAAAATGTTCCTGTCTGCTCGTCCTACTGCTGACTATTGTGATGCATCGACCTTCCCTACCAAATCACAGGTGAAATCGTTCGTATCTCAATTGAAAACATAAGAAGGTGATAGCAGAAGCATAAAAGGTTGGCAATTGCTAAATTAATGATGCTGAGAATGTGGCTTTATTGATATGTAATGAATTTACTCCGAGCAGGTAGACCTTAGTACTAACTGGTATGGAGACTTGAGAATGCTGTATTTCACTTAAAAAAAAAAAGACATCCCTTGGCTCCTGAGGGACATATTAAAATTAAAACTTAGATAACAAAACAATTTGAATTATAACTATACTTTAGTGCCAAGTTTAACAACATACATCGATAAAGTATTTCAATCAAATTTTGAATGCAAATATGTAAAAAATGCTGTAAATTTTGATCGTGTACAAAGGGTTAAGTTCAGCCAAATTATTAAGACAATTTCAAGAGAATACAAAATGTTTTCTGTCCTAGCTGTCCCTAATTTTGAACCAGAGAGAAGGAGCTAGTTTAAGACTGCCAACTCTCAGACTACTCTTGTTGCAAGGAATAATGGGAGTTGTACATCACTCTTGTAAAGCATCCATTGCCCCAAATACTTTTTTCTTTTGCATTAATGACATGCAAACCATGGAATCTCAGTTCCACAGTATGGTACATTAGCCACAAGGCAGCCGTTAGTCCTAAAATGCTTTGAATGCAAATTAAAAGTAAAATTAAAATGACAGATTACAGAAAGTAAGAATAATGTCTAAATTTATGAATAAACAAAGAACTTAATATATAGTACTCACTAGCTGAATATTTTATATTTATTGCATTTTATAATTGACATTTAAGGATAACTCAACCTAAAAGTTTTGTGCTTTTAACAGAAACCATCTTTCCAAACACCTCTGTTTTATAATACTCATATAAACTTGATCACAAAATAAAAGACAATAAAAATGGCTTACATCAAAAGCCAGTAAAAATCATTAAAGGATACTTGTAACTTTCATCCTCGTTGGGCATGGGGAATTACAGTGTGAACAATTAGTTGGGAAGTTCAGAACTTCATCTTTCAAGTGCTCATCAGTAAGTTCAGTATTATCACTGACGTTTGGATTCTGTTTTACATCATTCTCAGAGCTTTCTCTTCCTCCACTCTGTTACATCAAAATAATCAATGACTTTATTCGATTGATACAATTAAACATTCTATAAAGTAAACACGATTCAGCAGAAAATATTTTATATTAACACAGTGCTTACTCTTGACAAACAAGAAACTAATATTTTACATAAAGATTTCAGTTTATTAGCTACACAAAATTATTCAACATCACTGGTAAAAGTAATAAAAAAAGATGTAAGCAACTACCCAGTTTTAAATACATCATGTAATTGTAAAAAATGATAGATATAATGAAGTCAGTCCTTGTGATTGAACTCTTCACTACTCATCCCAACTTCAGGAACTAATGGAACATCCCTAAAGGCGGGTACATTGGAATGGATGACAACTGCCTGTTGTAGACAAGTGTGAATAATGACATTTCAGGTTGACTAAAGATGGAAGACTTTCGAAACATCGTTCTCTACACTTGTGTTTTTTATACAACAGGCTCTTGCCATCCAATTCAGTGTACTCATCGAAAACAATCTATCAAAGAATTCCTAAAGTTATTAACCGTATTATTATGTACAAAGTTCTATTACTTAACAAAAGGCCTTCTGGTCAATGACTTGTGGGAGACAGACTGATTTAACTGTTATTTTTACACAGCTCTGAATCCAAAATAGGTATACTGTGAGGAATGTGAAAAAAATATGCAATTTAACATAACTTGTATCACAGAAAACATATTCCCTTTATTAAGTGTGATTTTAAGTTTAATACTTGTTATATACCAGTCTTTTTTTTTAGAAGACACTTATATTTTAGTAGTGTACAAAAACACTTTTTTGAAAGACCATGTTCTGATAGTATATAACAACTATAATGGTCTTTTTTGTAGTAGTGTACTGAAACACTTTTTTGAAAGACCATGTTCTGATAGTACATAACAACTAGAATAGTCTTTTTTTTAGAAGACACTTATGTTTTAGTAGTGTACAAAAACACTTTTTTGAAAGACCATGTTCTGATAGTATATAACAACTATTATTTATAATTCTAGTTGTTATATACTATCAGAACATGGTCTTTCAAAAAAGTGTTTTTGTACACTACTAAAATATAAGTGTCTTCTAAAAAAAGACCGTTACCATATACTGTTAAAACAAAATGGTTATCTAAGAAACCGTTACCATATACTGTTAAAATAAAATGGTTATCTAAGAAACCGTTACCATATACTGTCAAAACAAAATGGTTATCTAAGAAACCATTAACATATACTGCTAAAACAACAAAAGTATTCTAAGAAAGAGTTATATAAACCACTAAAATACAATGGTTTTCTAGAGAATACTGCTACCACACACTGATAAAACACAATGGTTTTCTAGAGAAGACTGCTACCACACACTGATAAAACACAATGGTTTTCTTCAGTGTGTGGTAGCAGTCTTCTCTTAAAACACAATGGTTTTCTAGAGAAGACTGGTACCACACACTGATAAAATACAATGGTTTTCTATAAAAAGATTGTTGATACATACTGCTAAAACACAACAGTCTTCTAACTGCTCAAACACAATTGTTTCTAAGAAATTTTGTTCCACTTAGTATTAAAACACAATAGTTTTTCTAAAAAAAAAAAACCTTGCCACATACTGCTAAAACGCACCAGCTTTCTAAGAAAGATTGTTTACATACATTGCTTAAAAACAACTCTTATTAAACAAAAATGGTTTCCATACACTGATAAAATACAAGTCTAACAAGATGATTACCAAAAACACTTCAATGATTGAATGAGGTAATCATGTTAACATCATAGTAAAATAATGACTTTAATATGTTTTTAAAGAATTTTTTCACTTTGTCAGATAAGGTTTATCATTTTATCATGAAAACATAATATTAATTGGATATAAAACTTACACAAAAGAAAGAAATTATACATATACACCAGAAGTAGATATATTTTAAAAAAGCTTAACTTGATCATCACTATTTAATGTTCATCAGAAAACATTAAGAAACTTGGTTGCAATAGTTACTCCTGCTAGAATTGACAAAATACATGAAGGGCTATTAAAAGTTATTATACAGTTTCTATTTTTATTGACCAGCGAGTATAAACTTTGGAAGAGAAATCCTCAAAACTCTGTTCAACTATATTTACACATAACAGAAAAAGACCAGATATACAGTAGAAAGTCGAACAGAACCCGATTCAAACAATGTATATGAATTATTTCAGAACTTTTGACAGTTTGAAATTTCTACAAAACAATTATTAATAAAACTTCTAATCTTTTTGTAGCATCCATTTGAAGTTTTAGTAAACTACATAAGTCACTCTCAAAGAAAATAAATTGAAGTATAAGAAGAAAGTAGCACATACATAATATTTAAAGAAATTTAACTGTTGGAAAGTTTGTTAATCTGAACAATAATAATTAATTATTTTGTTTCTAATATTACCGGTTGCAAGCAGCAAAGAAAATGATAAACATTTAAAATAATTTGTTCATCGTATAGATAACTGGTTAATCTAAATTTTCAGTCATGGGCTTATTACCTTAGGATGGACATTGAATTGTTAGAAAGGATTCAGAGTAGGGTTAATAGGATGATACTTGAAACAAAAAGGTTATCATATGAGGACAGGTTAATATCTCTGATATTGTTTTCTCTTGAAAACAGAAAAGTTAGAGGGGATCTGACAGAGATGTTTAAGATTGTTAATAGAGTTTTATGGTAGATAAGGGAGAGAAATATCAATTTTGGCAGAGTAGAAGTCATATTTAGCTAAGACAGCAGGGTGGTTGGTCTTTGGAATTTGTTACCTTCAAATGTGGTGGAAGCAACAGAATTAAGTGAATTTAAGGGAAGCCTGGATATATATTTGAATGATAATAGTTTAGTTTAGTGGGTGGGACAGTCTATGTGAATCTAACAGTCCCTTAGTTTTCTTAAATGTTAAGTAAAAAGCTGCACAATGAGCCATCTGTTCTGTGTCTACAGGAATCAAACCTCAAATTTTAGCATTATAAGTTCACAAGCTTGCTGCTGAGGCACAGGAGGGGGGAAAATTTAAAATGTATAATATTAAGCACATGTTTAAGGCCATAAGGTAGAGAAATACAAGTCATTAAAAATACTGATTCAATAATGTAACACAAAACTTTTACCTAACTATACTCTTGTATTTCCTACAAAGATTATATGTTAATCATGAAGTATTAGACATACCATTATTCCCAACATTTGATCCTGTTCATTACTTCGAGTGTAATACGTTATCTGCATGTTTGGGTCCTTCTGTGGTGCAAGACTGTTCAATAGTTTAAGGTTTTTAACTGGGTTATCTGGATCATTCAACTTTTATTTTAGTTTCACAGATATCAAATATTTTTGTAAAAAATTAAAAGGCTGTGTAAACAAATATTTACATTCACCCCTAGACATCTGAGGCAAGATCTAATGGTTTAAATGTGCTTTAGAATTAAAAAAAAAAGTACCTAAGTACAACATTGAAAAGAAAATGGAGAATAAAAGTAGTTCTGATACATATATAGATAGGAAGATAAATGTCAAACAAGCATTGATTTAAATTATATTGTTTCAAATACTTCATGCCCCCAGAAGTGGCATATTCCCCCCATGGACACATGGTATTAAATCAATACTTGCAGGATGTGAAATTTGTGAAACCTAAAATGCAACACACTCAGTAGTTGCATTACATTGTACTATCCGTTAACACAGACTTTCCAGAAGTGTCTTTTATATCAGGATTAAAAAATATTTTATCCCAACAACATTTCAACGTACAACTGTCACATGCCCTCCCAGGTTTTGAGAACCTGGAAATAAAAGCAATGTCTTTAATAGAAGCATATTATCACGTCAACTTCCACAGCCAAAAGCAGATGGTTCGATTATTAAGAGTAAAAGATTAAAGTGAATTTCCAGCATTACCTGTTTTCACTTATGGTCTCACCCCCACCCAACCCCACACTACTGCACTAAATGAAGCTCAACCCCTTTTTAATGAATGTCTCAAAGTATTTTTTTTAAAAACTTATACAAGCCTAATAGGCCTAGAATGCTGTGTTAATGGGCCAACTTGAGCTTTATTCACTATAATATTAGATCTTTAAATGCAGATATTATATAGATTAGCTAGGACTATTGAATAAAAAGGCCTGTTTAACAGTTGTAACATGTGAGAAGAAACGTTTCTCACTTAGCAGCTGAAACTTAACAGAAGATCCATTACAAAAATTAAATTTAATAGTTGTAACATGTGAGAAGAAATGCATCTCAGTTGGTAGCTGAAACTCAACAGAAGATCCATTTCAAAAATTAAATTTAACAGTTGTAACATGTGAGAAGAAACGTTTCTCACTTGGCAGCTGAAACTCAACAGAAGATCCATTTCAAAAATTAAATTTAACAGTTGTAACATGTGAGAAGAAACGTTTCTCACTTGGCAGCTGAAACTCAACAGAAGATCCATTTCAAACATTAAATTTAATAGTTGTAACATGTGATAAGAAAAGTTTCTCACTTGGTAGCTGAAACTTAACAGAAGACCCATTTCAAAAATTGAATTTAACAGTAAGTTCTTTTTAAGAATTCAAAGAACCAAAAGGATACAAATTCTCTATAAAGCTGTTTCCAGATGGGTCATCAAGAATCTATAAATACACCAAATATATATATATAAAATACCAATGTTTTTAATGGATACTAAAACTGTACATCATGTAAGTAACTTTCATTACATAAAAATAAATAACACCTCCTTGAATCAAGCATTTGCAAACAAATATATTCACAACTTTCATGAAAACACATCAGTTAAATTTAAGTATCTACAATGACAGAGGTATGAAAAAAAGTCAGTTCACTTCATTTTAAACAAAAATAATTCATAAATATGTGTTTTAAATAGGTAGATTTAACAAAATTATCATGCTTTACCCTACCTTAGATTACATAACAACAGTCTCTCATGCTCGTAATATCTACGAGAGCTACAAATCACTCTCCTGGAGCTTTACTTACAATAAATAATTACTGTCATCAATAGTTCCTTTAAAATATGGAAGTTTCATTAATGCCATTATATTAGCTTACTGTCATTTTAAGTGTTGGGACAAGTTAAGTGATGAGTGAAGAGACTTTAAATCTAATAAAATATATAACTGAAAACATGACAGTTTTTATTTACATTCAATTGATAACTTATTTTGCAGAATCTAGTCTGTATTCAACACGATGTTGTCATACGTCGCTGTTTAACTCCTAGCACCACGTTAATGTGAGCAGCAGTACGATCATGTTTATTTCATAGTGGTACACATTCACCACACAGTGTGCTACTTTATTCATTCAAGTTACATACCTCACACAAATGTAATGCCCACAATACACATTAACTTTGTCTTATCACATAGTAACATAATGTAATAGGCTGTTTGGTATCAGACTGTTGAGGCATAAGGCACCCACACATAGCAAAAAAAATGGTGGATGCCAAAACTCTTGTCATACATTCATACTGAATTTTTTTATGGCTTTGAAGTACAAAGAGTAGCTGTATGAGCATAAAAATTAAGACATGGATGTTATGTGAAGCTTTCTCAGAAAAGCAGTTTACTTTAAAAGATTTAGCATTTAACTCCATCATTGCCATGTTTACAGATAAACAACTCCCAGTTCCAAGTTTATTTTTAGATACACAGTAAAAAACAAAATGCCAGATGTTTAATATTTCCTTAATTATATATCTAAAACTTGAAACTGGTAAATTTTTAGAAGTTTGAAGAGGAATACTCTTTCTCCATGGTGGCGTAAAATTCTAAAATCACATCATGTTGTTAATATCAAACTTTTTAAGGTTAACATTTTCCTCACCTAAGATATATTTCTAATAGATACATCTTCACACAGAAAGCTGCACCTCTGCCTTAGATATTTGCATACCACTAGCTTTTGGTGAACTTCCATCTAATCTCACGAGAGTTTTTGTGAATTGAGCTACTGCATAATGATGTCATTATCCAGCAAAAACCCTCAACCAATAGGAGTGCAACATACTACTTGTGTACTAACTTCCTCTATGCAGTTGCACTCATGAATCTTCATTCTTTGATGAAGCAAGTAAAAACATTGTGCAATGAAAGTGGGGAGGATGGTTGGGAATGCGTGTGAGAGGTATCTATCGTAAATACATTTTCAGGTAAGGAAAATGTTAACTTCCAAGTCAATACCACACCTCTTCACACACAATGTTAAAATCCCATGTTGAAGTGGTGGAGGGGCCAGTGCAAAGAATCACCTAGATGAGCTCCCTTCAGAAAGCAACCAAAGGAAGCCCATGAAGTGTGACATCTGATGGCAGTTGCTTCATAGGGGCACACCCATGGTAGACTGTATCTCATCTCTTCTAGGGTACACTCTTCACCCAGGAATGAGGGAGGAAGAGGCAACCGAGTGGAATAAGAACATGGCCATCCAAGTAATTGCACATAAGAGGTCGAAGAGCCAATATGTGTAGCATGGTTTGGGTGCATTCAGACTGTACCTTATGTTCACCTCAACTCTACCATCAGACATCAGCTGTTGGAGGAGGGCACAGTAGTCATGCCACAGAGTGCACTCCTACACTCAACTTAGCAGACATCAGTTGCAGAATGAGGGCATGTTTTGTTAACATACGCTCGCCTCAACTGAAAATGTGATGTCTGCAAGAAGATGGCACATGCGTATAGTGTGTACACCTCAAATCTACTGAATCAGAAGGAGAGAGTGGGATAGTGGTGGGATAGAAAACCTACTTTTACAGGACAATACACACGATGGGATTTTTTCAGTCCCAAAAATCGCAAAACGAACCTTATTGCTACTTTAGTCCATCTCTAAACTAGATTTCGAATTGAAGACAATTAAGACTATTTTACTAGAAAATGGGTATCCAGAAAACGTCATCAATTAAATTACTTCAAGGAAAATTGTAAGCTTCTCAACTGATCCAAAATTTGGTCCTAATAAGTGTCCTATTTACCTAAAACTACCATGAATTGGTAATATTTCAACAAAATTTGAAAAACAATTGAAAACGGCCATTACTAAATGTTTTCCTGTAGTGAACCCCTACTGTGCTTATTACACACGTAAGTTGTTGCCTGCAACACACAAAGATGCGATACCTACCACACAGAAAAGTATGGTTATTTATGAATTCTTGTGCCACAGTGAATGTCGGTACGTAGGTCGCACTTCACAAAAATTGCAGGA